CACACACACACACACACACACAGAACTATAAGAATATCAACCCTGAAGAGACAGTCTCATTGTCTGTCTGCCCTCTCTCTCTCTCTCTCTCTCTCTCTCTCTTTCTCACACACACACACACACGTCTGATTAACCCTAATGATTCTCGGAGCCTGGAGCCTGGGTCGAGGCCAACTTAATCCCACTTGTTATCAAGCTGACAACAAAACCCAGTCCCTATAAATCTTTCCAACATAATCCAATCTCAGCATACCCCAGTCAGTCAACTTAATCTATTTTGTATCAATTATGACCTAGTTTATGGTTAGTCAACCTCACACTGACAATTATCATTCACCATTAATTTATTATATTCTTGCACCTGTGCCAAGAATTTCACTCTTACTATCTCCATTTCACATATGCAATCAAGGTACAAAAAAGTTAAATCAATGGCCCAAGATTACAAAGCTTGACAAATAGAGTAAATTAAATTTAGTTCCAAGGGAACTAAAGTAACTCAAGAAGAGCCATCCTGTTGCAACAATCTTTCTATGTAAAGCCCAGACTTCTAGCTCTTCTAGCACTCAATCTAATCCAGTCTGCTTTCCAGAAGAGTTGAGGTTGAGGACACAGAGGGTTCACTCCCAAAGGCTTCCAACAATAATAGTCTTCATTATTTACAGTCCCAGTCTAGTCCAGAATTTCCCAAATCATCCCAGCAGAGCCCCATCTATTCTAGACAGTCCAGAATATCTCTACACGCAGCTGTCTGATTAATACAGATAGAATACCCCAATATATCTTTCTATACTAGCAAAGACCCTAACAAATCTATCTGCTCCTGCATGGTGCGTCCCAATAAAATCTAAGCACCAATAAAAAACCAATACAACCCAGCCGAGATTAGAATGATCCAAGTTTCCCCAGAATACCCTAATCTATTCCAGGGCCGACTTGGAGCATTGTGCACTGGGGCAAACTAAAATATCCCTAAACAATTCTGACAGTCCCAGTACAAGCCAGAATGTTCCAAGTTGCCCCAATATAGTCCAATCTACACTAGGAAAATTAGAGAATAGTCCTACGTTGTCTATGTACTACGGGACTGCTCAGAATGTACTAAGCTACCAGAGAACAGAATACCCCCAAACAAGTCGGAGTGCACCGTTCTGTTCCCATATAGCCTAATCCTCGCTAATCTGATTTAGGGTAGTCAAAGCCAGTCCCCTACCGCTGTTTGCCTCAATCTGTCCAAGCATAACCTTGTTCGTCCTGGGATATCCAATCTACAGTAGAATCTGCTCCATTAAAGCCAAAAAATCCCAGTATGGCCCAGAGAAGGCCTATGTTCAACAATATTGGCTAATCTACTGCAGTAAAGCCCCCATCGTTCCCAGTCTAGGCCTCGCGCTCACCCGAAATCCTGATCCATAGACTTGAAAAAGTACTTAGCGCCCGCGGGCCGCTGCAGGACGCTCTTGAAATCGCCAAGGGTGATGCGCTCGGCGGGCACGGGGATTTTCACCAGGTAAGGAGTCTCTTCTTCATCCAGGTGATAAATCACCTTCGTCTCCCCGACACCACCGCCCCCCGCGCCGCTGCCCGCCATGGTTTCGCCCGCGCGCTCCCGGGCTCTGCCGCCCACCCAGCCGGGCTAATCGCCCCCTCGCGCCTGCGCACACCCGCAAACCAACGCGCTAGGGCCGACAGGACCGACCCAAAGCCGAGAGAAGTGCGACGGAGAAGAAGGCAGGGGTCAGCGGGGTGGCGGCGGCGGGGGGCGGGCCGTGTAGAGGACCCAAATCCGCGGACTCCGACCGCCGCGCGCCAGCGCCGCCGACGTCGCTAGCGCCTTCAGTGCCCCGCCCATCTCTCCCCATACCACGTGACCTAACCTAGCCCGTCTGGCTCGTCTCGTAACGCCCCGGTCACGTGTCTTGCCCCATATCACGTGACCCCCAGTCCCGCCCAACACCCACCACGTGATAGGTGCTTTCAGCAACTGTCTCCCTACCCTCAACGGGCCCGCCCCCAAATGTGTCCCCCACTCGTCTTTCCCACCCCCATGTACCCTCCCTATGCTGTCCTCAGTTCCTAAGGGGCAACCGATTCCCACACTTAGCTCCCAACTCAGAGCGCCAAGCAACTCTGATCCCTTGGAGCATGCTTACGGGGTGGGGGTTCTGCACTTGAGCAAGGTGGGGGCATAGGGTGGGTGGGAAAGGGGCAAAGCTGGTCATTTTCAGTTCTGACTGTTGAGTGGTGGGTTTTAGGGTTTTAGCCCTGACGCATGCCAGTCTTCTGCCAGCTTCTCCCAAACAGGACAGTCAGTGAGGGTTATAAACACAAAAAAGCCCACTCTGATTTATTTACAACACGCAGGCTGTCTGTACAAACAGCTGGCCAATGTTATTAAAAACCAGAGGTGAGAGAATCATCACCTTTCTGTTTTCCTTCCTCCCTTGGCCATGCTCTGGTTGGTATTCCACCTGAGCTGCCATGCCAAAAAAGGGAAGTCCAAAATTAAAAATACAACCGGTGTAGAATAAATGGGGAGTGAGAAAAGATGAGGGGAGGGAGTGCTATATTTACACTAGAGTTTTATAGACAATTGTCCCGTTCCATCCAAATCCCAACCCGGGCCCAGAAAACGAAGTGGCAGATCCAGAGACAGAGATTAACTGTCTCAGACCCAGACAGCCTCACTCCCCCAATTGTAATGGGTCCAACTTCAGGTCCACAAGCTGGGAAGGAAAATTAGGATAGGAACATGACACTCATTTCCAAACAAGTCTCCCTTGGGATTTCCTGCCTCGAAGTGGGACAAAATCCAAGCTCCAGGGGATAGGCTGAGGACCCTGAGGCTCAATTCCCAAATCATATTGTCATTTGGAAGTTCCAGCCTAGAGATGGCAATGTCAGGGTTCTCCGGATTTGGGAGGCCCCCCTAACCGCCGGGCTTCTGGTCGCAGTTCCTTGCATTTCTGGCAGTAAAAGAAGTCAGGGACATTGGTCTTCTTGATCTTAGCACAGGAGAGGTGGATCCACGTCCCACAGAGGCTGCACTCAATCATGGGCCGCCCTGCAAAGGGCTTTCGGCAGTAACACGTGATCAGATCCCATGAGTCATCACCTAGGGAATAAAAGATTTGTTTGGTATTCTGCCTAAGCTCTTGGATCCCCCCATACCCTCAATTCCATTGTCCCAGCTGTCCCTGGGCGAGCCCAAACTTCTCACCTGATTCTACCATGATGTCCTCATCCATGACCCGCATCTCGCCTTCACTGGAGCTGGCATCTCCATCTTGGCTTGTTTCAGTGCTGCCCACCTCCTTACTTTCACTGTCAGTGGGAGGGGCTCCTTCAGAGTGTACTGTGGCAGGGGGCCTAGGAGCCTCAGGGGGAGCTGGCAACACAGGGGCTGGGGCTTCACCCCCTACCATTGCTGCTATCTCTTCCTCCTCTTCCTCCTCTTCTTCCTCCTCCTCCTCTTCAGAGTCTGTATCACTGGGGGGTGCTCGGGGAGGCCCAGGAGGTGGGAGTCTATCCCCCCGATCTGCCTTTTTCAACTTCCGCTTCTTGCTCTTCTTGATTCGAGACCTCTTTTCCCCATCGCCAGCGGTTGGCCGAGGCCTCCGAAGCACCCCAAAGCCAGCCCCCCCTCCTGGCCCCAACTTTCGGTTCTTTCGGTCCTTCTTTCGAGGCGGCTGGGAGAGGTCCCCCTGGGAAAGGGGCACTGGGGTGAGAGCAGCAGGAGGCCGCGAGGCATGTGTCAGGGAAGTGGGGGAGAGTGGAGATGCCATTTTAGGCCCATCTAAATCAAAGAGAGAGTCTTTGAGCTTCATCTTCTCAAGTAGAGTGGCACTATCAGGGGCCTGCAGACGTGAGAAAGTGGATCTCGGGGGTCCTGGCTGGGTGGGACCTGCTTGAGCTGCCCTTCTCTTGGATGACTTTGCTTTCTTAACAAAGGTCTGGATAGTTCGGAGATCTGAGGGGGCTGAGTCCCAGCCATCACTGTCTGCCGCACTCTCACCTCGCAATGGAGAGCTGGAGCCAGAAGCTGGCCAGTCACTTTCCTTAAAGAGGGGAAGAGACCAGGTTCAGCAAGGGGCCCTTTGTCATCTTGGCCTCCATACCAACCCAGCTGGAAAGCCAGAGACTAGACCTACCCTTAATATTGTGTCAAAACAATCAATTCTTGCTCAAAAACTGATCCCCACTCCATCATTTCCTCTAGAGGTTATTTCCTCTGCTTTTAAATTCCAGCTATCTCCCCACCTCTCCTGCCCATAGTATTTGTAACACTGTATCTCCCAGATCAGTCATATTTCTTTAACTATTTCTGCACAACTCTTTTGTTACCATTTTTAGCTACCTCAATTTTATCCAAAAGCACCTCCCATTAACAACACCCCACTGAAGACCATCCACTGCTGCTCAAGCCATTTCAAGCCATTTATCTCTATTATCCCCATCCCCAACCCCTACCCAGATACTAATTTTCCCATCACAGCCCACAGGTTTCCAATTTCTTCATGCAGGTTTCCATCTGGTGGGCTTCTCCTACAGATACAGACTAATATACTCCACAGTCCCTCTGTAGTCCTGGGACACTGACCTCAAATCAGCTGCCCTCCCATCCCTACCTCTTTGCTGGGGGGTATATAACCAGCATATGCCAAGACAAAACTGCAGAATTTGTTGAAATCCTCAATTGTTCTCCGTCTTTTCTCTGGTGGCTGAAAAGAAGGAAACCTACATTACACGGAGTTTAAGAATGGTATTTCCAAAAGCACAGTCACAGAAGTTAAAAATCTGAAAAAGGTGGGGGAGGGGGGAGTAATGGGGATCCTGCAACTAGGCTGCAAAGGTAAAAACCTCACCTGAGTTTCTGGCTTAAGGGTCGGAGGTGGATCTGTGAAAGCAATAAAAGCTGAGTTAAGGCACTGGAAAACACCGAGTGTAAAACCCTACCGTTGACCCTTGGAGGTCCCAAGTGAAACCTTCCTCTCAGGTCCAAACCACCAGGCCCCCAGCTGTGCCGAACCGGCCCCAGCACCCCCCTTCCGCCCAGAGAGGGGCGGAGTCTGGGCGCGGCGCCCTCTCAGGTCTCCTATAGCGCACCCCTTCCCCCCACTGGACGCCTGGCGCCCCGCCCCCCCAACTCACGGTTTCTCTAGACTCGTCTACTTGAATCTCTCAGCGCCCCACCCCGCCATACCGCTCCCAGGACAGAGCTCGAGCTGCCGCCTGCCGTTCCTAACCACGCGCCTAGTACCCCGAGTTCCTACCGACTGAGCTCTACCGCCTCGGGCCCTCAGAGTCCGCACACGCCGCCGGCCTGGCCCCAGGGTCCAGAATGACCACGCTGAACCGCTCCCCGCCCTCCGGCCCCTTCTCCTCGAGCACGAGGCCCGACGCGCCCCTCACCCCCACCCTAAACACAGGCGGGCACACACATCCAACGCCACTTCGCGTCCGGAACAGGCCAGAGAGCTCTAACCCGGACACGGCCCCACCTGCCCCCCCCCACACCGCGCTCCCCACAATTTCGCCGTCCCTCCGCCCCCATCCGGGGCTTTGGCCCCTCCCCGTCTCGAGCTTCTCGGGCTCCCCGCCGGGCCCCCGGGCCCAGTTCCGAGCTCTCCGGCCGCCGCTCCCCCCTCTACTCACCACCAAGTCACTAGGCTACGGACCCCTAAACTCCAGACCCCCCCCCTCAGTCAGCTACTCCCTCCTTCAACAGAAACCCCGCTGCTGCCCCCCTTAGCCCCGGCAACTCCCAGGCTCTAACCCCCGCCGACCAACCTGACTGTTCCTCCCTCTCCCCCCCAGCACCCCGGCTCCCAGCAACTCGCCGGTCTTAACCCCCCACCCCCACCCCGCCCCACCGCCCCTACAACTACCCGGCTCTCCGCGCTTCCCGGCTGTCCCCACAACTAGCCCGGTACAAGCCCCTCCACCGCAGACAATACCCAGACCCCCTCTTTTCCCCATAACTATCTGCCCACCCCTCCAACAATCACCGGGCTATCTCCAGCGACAACTACCGGGAGCTCCGGCACCACCGCCACAAACTCCCCCACCTCGGCGAACTACCGGACTCTTCACTCAGTCCTCTTCCATACCCTCTCTCTTCAACAACTCTCCGGTCCCCAGATTCCCCTAACCTCCCAGTTCCAGGGCCCCAACCTGCCGAAGGCCCTTTCTGCTCCCAACCTCTGAGGCTCCGGGTTTCCAGCTTCCACTCCCTCACCCTCCCCCCCCTCCACACACTGTCTGATCTCCAACTACCCCCAGACCAAATCCCCACTCCTCTTTCTCCAAGGTCTCTCAACTCATTGCGTTCCCACCTCCAGGGGCAGGCCCCGACCCCCTCCCCGCACTCCCCTGCTGAGCTCTGGGGCTCGACCTCCAAGTTTGCCAATTGATTCCTCAGCCGCCCCCCGCCGGCTCAGTGCTCCGTGCCGGTCGAGAGCTCACCTTCGGGACTGGGCTCCGCCATGGCTTCCAGCATCGCCCCCTCCCCTCCTCCCGGTCCGGCGCCCCCTCCCCTGAGTCGGGGATCCCGGTGCCGCCTCCGGTGCTCGGGGCTCCTACTGCCTGGCTCCACAGAGATGTCTGCTTCGACCCGGTGGTGACTCGAGTCCGCTAGCCGCTGCCGCCACCTCCCTTTGCCACAGCCTCCCGCACTCCCGGACCGGGCCCCCTCCCCCCGCGTCGCCGGCCGCCTGCTCCCTCCTCCTCCTCTTCTCTCTTCCCTCCCTCCTCCTCTCTACCCCCACCCTTCGCGGGCACTAATGCGCAATGCATCAAGGGGCTTGTAGTCTGTCGGGAAGCAGCGGAAAGGGGACTGCATGAGCCCTAGGAACTTCAGTTCCCAGCAGGCCACGGGTTGGCGCAGGCGCTGTAAACAGCTCCCCTCCCCCGGGGAGTGGCGGGGAGATTGGGAGTAAAATCATGGAGCGGAAGAGCGCGCGCAGGCTCCTGGGAAATGTAGGCTGGGCGGGACTAAGAAAGAAGGGAAAGAAGGGAATAGAACTCTCGGCCACCATACTGCCTCCTTCAGCGGCTTCTTTCTCCCCCCAAGGGACCGCCTCACTTCCGGCCGGACGGAAAAGTGGTTGCTGGGAGATGAAGTTCCCCTGATAATAATGGCTCCCTCCTCTCGGTCTTGTTCTCTCTCCCTTGGATTACTAGGTCCCCTAACTCGGCACAGCACAAAACCTGACCAAGTTACGTGCAACCACGGACTAGTCCTTTTACCAGCTCCCACACAAGTCTCTTCCTTAATAATCCAGGCGGTAATAACAAATTTGGACGTGTTTATCTAAAGCAGGTACTTTTAAACTTTCCCCATAGGAAACCACAGTAAAAAAATTTTTTTTACATAACCCACCACACACACATGAAACTGAGGTGTCATGAAACGATATATTGAAAATAGTCCACAAAAAAAAGCACCCTTTTTATGCACAAGGGATAAAGCCCAAAATGAACAGAACAAAAACACTATCCCTCCAACCTCCTCTTTCCCCACCACTGAGGACAAAACAAAATGGTGAGGGCAGCAACACAAATCAAAATCCAGTTCAGCTTGGTGGTTTCCTCTTTATTGATGTGCCTACCATTTCCCCCCACAATTTCAGTCCCTTCCACCTACACCCAGAAGAGAAGGTAGTGAAAGGAAGGGCTTGCTGGGGTCCTGAGCCCCTTGGGCAGTTAGAAAGGGAACAGAAACCAAAACAATCACTGGATGTGACAGAGACTGACAGTCAAGAAATCTAAAGCAGAGTGAGAAAAGTGGTAGAGAAAGGGCGAGAAAGGAGAAAGGAGAGGTACTATATGCCATCTCCCCCATAAGCCCTTCTGTGGAGAGGGCCTGAAGAGGGAGTCTCAAACATAAGGAAGTGCAGGTCCTGAAGAAGGGAGGTGATATTTGAGCCTGAAGAGGAGTACTTCAAGGAAAGGGGGCCACCTTTCTCTCTGTAGAATGGGACCCCCACCTCAGGGATAGCAGCTTCACAGACCGTAGACACTTTCATCACTGTAGGCAATGTATAGAAAGAAGTCTTCTTCGTGGTGTTCCTAGGGTAAAAGCAGAAATTAACGATGCTAGGCACACCTGACTTTAGATACATGAACCACCCACTGTCCAGACATATTCTTCAAAAAACAATCTTTTTAAAGAACCCAAAACCAGTGCCTGGACTCTGTCCCTCACTTGACCCAAACCTTAGCAACTGAGTAGTATTATTCCTAGCAACAGCCCTGAACAAAAAGATTTCAAACTGTTCTCTGCTTCCTTCAAATAGGGAGGGAAGGAAGAGTCCTGACTGAAAACAGTTGTTCCAGCTTACTTATGGCTCCCTTTGCTCTACTTTCACTGCCCTATCCAAATCCCAACCCAAAATTATCCTAAAATTTCAAGACCAAAGACAAAATTGAGAGCAAAACAAGTCGGTTTACTCAAAGAACTGCTTACTGAAAACTTTCCTCCCCTCATGTTCTTCCAACTAGTTTCCAAAGCCTCCACTACTTCCGAGTCACCATACCTGGTATAATTGACCCATCGTGGCACTGGTGGGTGGAATGACATTGTTGACAAAGAAAAACAAGGCATCCTCAGCTCGGAGATGAATTCGCTTCCGGATCAAGAAGTAGAACTGACCAACTGCCAAAGATGCAAGATGCAATAAAGTCACAGAGGTCACAAATGCCTTAAAAAAAAACAGCTGCTATGCCGGGCCTCTTCCCACAGATGTTCTCCCACCCACAGGAAGCAATCCTGGGGTCAGGTCAGCTACCTACCTGTGAGATCAGAAGGCACCAGGTATTTTTTCTTGTCCAGGTCTCCTATCCGAGCTTTGGGGGCCTTTTCTACTATAACCTGATGAAGGGAAAATGAAAATTAAGAGACATGAAGTGTACAGCACCAAAGCTCTACCTGTCAATAAAACAGTATTACTAGCACTCAAATCTACCCCAGACTCATTTCTCTTTGTCTCTGCACACGCGGTGTTACCCCTGAGTCCAGAATTCCTGACCCCACTGACTCAAACTTTCCTAAATACACACTATTCCTCCATACGACGTCATAATAAACAACTATGTTGATCAGCGTGGCAGACCCAGAGCTTTAATCTCGAAAACCTACCTAGCTGGAGGATTAACCATGTGAAGAACAGACTGTCAAAACTCTACACCCTTCCACAAGAAAACCAACGTCTATCTTTCCCAACCACATCTCGTCACCCTTCCCTCTACTGCAACCCCACTCCTTCCACCTTTTTCTCAGAGACAGCAAATTCAAGCTCATTCTCAACCCCGCCATGACCGGCAGCCTGCCCGTCCCGCACCCAAATCAGGCTGTGGCGTCAAGTGCCAGCGCCCTCGGCCCTAGCTGCTGTCCTCACCGGGACCCGGTCCGGGTATTTCTTTCGGATCTTCTCGCCCTCAGAGCGGCGCTTCTCGAACGGATGCTCCTCTTTATACACGAACTTCATCCTCCCGGGAACCGGGCTGAACCGGGTTGGGCTGAGGGAACCCGGGGGGGCCGGGAGAGGGGGCGGCGGCGGCGGCGGCGGCGGCGGCGGCGACGCGCGGGCGAATTCGGCGGAGCGATCTAAGGATTTGCGCCACTTCCCTATTCACCAGCCCCGCTGCGGAACAACAGGGTCCGCCCCACCAGCTAAGTTACGCCGCTAGCGCAGTGACCCTAACGCCACTAGCGTAGCAACACCTACTGAAGCCCCCCCCACCCCCCTGCCCCGGAACGCCGTCAGCGTAATCGCTTTGGAATCAACTTGTAGGCTACGCAGTCCGCGTAACCAAGGTGATTGGTTTTTACTATCGTTGAAAATAACTGATAACCCATCTCCCGACATTCCCCCACACGAAGCTGGGAATGAAAAGGGGTAGGAGAACGGGAGATGACAATCGTAATTTGTGACTGGGTTCTCCAAAAGTTCTTTTCGGAAACAACGTAGAGGGGGGAAAAAAAGCAGATAATTACAAGGCTAGCTATTCACGAATGTGTTGGTACGTTGAAAGCGGCCGTTGACACCAAAACAAAATAGTACCCAGATGAAGATGGTCCCCAGAAATAACGGAAGGCAGAAACAAGATGTATATCGGAGAGGCACAGAACACTTAAGTTCCAGGAATAAGTGGACCAACAGAGACAGAAAAGGAGGTCCGAAAGGTAGGGACTACGTCAGCGCGGAAGAACACTTTCAGCATTTGTAAAGTGAAATCATGTGATCGCAGAGAAGGGCGGAGCATCACGTGGCTGTGCGAGGAAGTAGAGCCGGCTGGGGAGGAGGGTGCTGTGGAGGCGGAGTCTGCAGGGCGGGAGGCGGGGCCGCCTGGGCGGGAGGCCAATCCTACCCCCGGGAGTGAAGGCCTTTGCAGGACCTGGGGCGCCGGCCGTCTGAGAGCACTACCCACACAGCTAGTCCTTGTGAAGACCAGCTTTTCTCCGTCAGTATGTCTTTTCTGGCATCCAGGTTTCCTTTTCATCCAGACTTCTGTGTCCTATAGCTCTGCCACACTTTCCCTCAGGACACACAGCTGTTACCCTTTGGGGATCCCTTCCCACCAAAAGCATTGATTTCACATTCACTGCACCACTACTCCCCCTATCCACAAAATCAACACCACCACTCCCCCTATCCCTCCAGTCCAAGAGCAGTGTGCCCACCCTCTGCCTAGGGGACACGGTGGATGTGAACAAAGACCCCCTCCCTTCATTTCCCAGACACCCAGAGAAGGACCTAGGGCAGCTTTGGTTTCAAAGTTATAATGCATGGTTTAAAAGAGGAAAGAAAAAAGAAAGCTGGTTACAGGTCTGAGGGAATCTAGGAAGAAAGGGAAAGTGGGAAAAGTAAAGTTTAGGGAAATCCAGTGGCCCAAAATCCCATTTTCCCACCCACAGCCCAGCCCTTGGAGTGAAGAATTAGATCAGTTTTTTACAAGAGTTTTTAAAAAATCAAATCACAACAAAGCTGGCTTGGCTTCACTTTGAGTCTCCTGGATTACCGAATGTCTGTTTTTCACTCTGGCCAGTCCTGTCTCCATCACAGACACTGTTTCGGCTCTCCTAGGTCTCCGCTTATGTCCCAGTCTGGGGTTTCCAGGGATTTCGAACAAGAAGTTAGAGTGAGGCTGCTTCAGAGTCTGGCCCATGTGTCCATCCAGACTCCAAGTAGAGTGCAGGGCTCCCAGGTCAGAGAGGGGTGGGAGGGGCAGAACCTGCCCAGGCAGTCCTCACCATCGGACAGGGTATCAGACGGCATCCCGAGGGCTTCCCCCCCTATCCCCCCCACCCCAACTCAGGTGGAGGGGGAGCAGCTGTCACCAGAGCCTATGTTGGTGAAGGTTTCGACTCAGCACAGAACGAACATCAGCGGTGAACCTGGGATGACAATAATTGCATTGGTAGAGTCCTTATAGTTGATGTCTTCACAACACTAGTGTAAGGCAGCCTCACTGGAGATGTGGGACAGAAATGATCACCATTTTCACATGGTGAGACTGAGGTTGTTTGCCCAAACCCAATGGCTAAAAGTGATAAACTTAATGTAAGACCTGGGTTCAGATGCTATATTCTTAAGGGAAGAGAAGTAAGTAAAACAGGACAAACTTTTATTCCCTCCTGGGATCCCCCACCACCTTTCCTCAAAAATCTAAGTGTCTTGCTTCCCTTACCTGAGGGCATCCAGCATCGGGAGCAGGTTAAGAAGGGCGGTATCACTGGGGTCACTGAACCAGGATTTGATGGGGATGGCATTGTCTAGGGTGGGTAAAAATGCACATGAGAAGAAACAAATGATTCAAGAGAGACAGAGTGTTCTTCTTTTATTTGAAAGTGGGGAATCCTTACTTCAAAATATATACCTCCCCCACAACCCCCCAACTCAATGACCTAAGACCTTCCTGATTTATCCTCCAAAATAAAATTTAATTTTAATCACCACATGGTATACTAGTATGAAGCTTCTAACTGAACATCCTATCCTGTCTTTGTGTCTGACCTAAAACAAACCTGACATAAAAAAACCCTATTCATAAAACAGACAAGAGGAGACAGGAGGGGATATCTCATTGAAGAGAAATAACTTATATCTGAACCTATAATAACTCAGGGAATCCCAGTTCCATGCATTTAAAATACATCCTCAGAACCACTTTCTGGTCATGCCAGTCTCACCACCTTCCCCCATACCTGGATGGCTCCTATAGGCCCCTGGGGAGTTATCCAGGATCACAATGCTAGAGAGGTCACTGTGGACCACAGAGAGGTCCTTGATGTAGCTGCCCAATTCCAAAGTGCAGTGCTGGAAGGCAGGGTGAGCTCAGCATCAAAAGGAGACTCACCCTCTGTGGTTGTTTTCCCAATCCCAACAACACCCATGACAACCAACTCACACAAAAGGGGACTGTGCAGAACACCTCCCCACATGCCCAGAAGATACTATTTCAGGGTAGATGCCTGAAACTCAGGTCCCTCCCTGGTGGCCTGACTCCTGAGCCTCACTCTTAGACCTGGATCCTAGCCTTTACCTGTCTGTAGTATCTCCTCTTGAGAATGCTTCTGCTATTGTCCAGTTTATCTGCCACAGCAGAGCCATAAATCTCCATACTTGCTGTGAAGACCACTAGCTCATACCACTGGCTCACCTGAAATAGATCAGGGAAGAGAGCTGTTAGATAAGGTGATCAATCATTTAGAAATACAGGTCTAATTCACTGGGAGTCCAGTCTCGCCTTTCAGCAACATCAAGTATCTTTGGGGACACAAATTCTGAGTCTTTGACACCATCAACCTTAAGAGTCACAGGTGTAAGAACAACAGTGCTAGAATTATATCAACACAACAATGAACCCGAATTACTGAAAGCCACTCTCTGCCCATGCCACAAGATCCCCCCTCCAAAACTGCCCTTACCCATTTCTCCTTACTATTTACCTTCTCCAAAACCTCTAAATTTAAAAGTCTTAAAACTACTTCATCAGAGCTCCCTTTAGCTTCCACAAACTCACCACTTCTAAGAAGAAATCCACATGAGGCCTCTTATGTACAAAAAACCGGACAGGATGTTTGTCTATTACCACCTGTAGAAAAACAGGGAAGGGCTGGCCACAACACAAACCTGAAAGACACCCCACCCTTCCATTGCCTGCTTTTCTTTCTTCAAGCTGATGCTAGTGAAGGGGACATGGACGAAGACAAGACACGCTGGGATTGGGAAAGGGGATCCAAGTATGAGCAGAATAACAGCTGTAACTATTTCATCACTTATCCCCACACACCTTGAGAATGAAGTCAGGAGGCGTTCCAGGCCGAACTGTGGGCCTCAGGACCCCATCATGATGGGAGTGAATAAGCGTTTCATCCAGATCCAGCACCAGGATCTTCTTCTTCACCTGGCCTGAACCACAATGGGAAGGAGTAATACCAACCAACCTCCAGCCCAGCCCTTGAACCCTACTTCACATTAAAGGAGTCTTCCCAGTCAGCACACTCACCCAGCCGATTCCGGGACACGGGAGATAAGGGGAGAATATCATATCGAACAGTTTGATACTGAATTACCTAAAAATAGCAAGAAAGCATTTAGGATTAAAACAAGGAAATCTTCCCCAGTGACAATAGATGGCACGTGTTGAACATTTAACATATGCACCATGTGTTGCACATTTATCATGAACACTTAGCACCATGTAAATTATTTAACCCTCAAACCACCGTAATAATAATATCTGTTTCAGTGATGAGGAAACATCATCTCTGTTTGAAAGATGAGGAAATCCAGGGTTGGAGAGATGAAATACCTATCTAAGGCAACACAGCTAGGAAGTCTAATTTAATTATTTGCCTCCCCAATTAGAATGAAAACTCCATGAAATTATGGTTTGTCTCAAGCATGGCTGTGTTCCCAGAACATTTTAGCAGCCTGATCAGCTAATAGAATCAATGAAGAAGTGGAAATTGTAGTCATGCAACCCAATCCAAGAACTTGCCTTCTTTCCCATATTATATTGCTTTGTTTAACAAAGAAACACAAGACCCACCTCACCTCCACCCCAAGGACTCTTTGTGATAATTCCCATCACTTCCAGTTGGGAACTAAGAGCCACAGATTCCTCAGAATGGAATTCTTTGGAGAGTTAAGAGTCAGGAGGGAAGGTTCTTGGGTCCTTAAGGAAATGGAGGATAAGGGAGTCCAGAGGTTGTCAGGTCAGCTAAGTTCCTCTGGCCGGGGGCCACTAGGCCTATTTTAACCAGCCACCTGTCCATTTCTATCTCTAGTAGCCAAGTCACAAGTTGCAGAGGACCTCAGTCCTCTGAGCAGCCTCATTATCCTGGTACCCAGCACAAGGCAGAGAAACTAGAAAGCCCCACCTGCTAGTCTGACAGTATATTCAGAAGACCAGAGTGAAGGGCAGTGAAGTGAAAAATGAAGGAACAAGGACCTCACCACTTCAATTTTCCAGCTTCTCCAAGCATGCTCTAGAAGCTCCTATTTCTTTCTATATCTTGGGTCTTTATGCAAAGCCTGGCCATTCTCTCCTCTGATCTCTTCTAAGCACAAATGCTTTTCAGCCTGTCCTTAGGGCCTGAGCGTTAGCATACATAACCAGGCTCCCCATCTCCCACCTATCAAACCAAAGTGCCTTCTTCCCCTAATCCCAAAGCATCTGCCCTTCTTTTCTCCCTGGGCCATGATGAAGGCTGCAACAGCTCGGGTGTCCTGACCTGCTATCTCGGGTTGCACATGCTGGGCATGTAGGGAATGCTCCAAGCATCTGCCAGAAAGGGGGTGGAAGGGAGAAACCAGATTGAAAGAGAAGACAAAAGGCTGTGGGGTCAGTGCAACCTGAAGGAGAGCAATTTTGCAAGTTAACTAGACACTGGTAGCGTTATAGCACTATCCCCTGCACCCAGAGCAAAAAATTGATGTACTAGGGAAAATAGGGGGATGTTTGGAACAGGGCCAGGCAGAAAGAATGTCAACTAGCATATAAACCCCAGGAGCTAGCCCCACACCCATCTTAGCATCTCTGACCCCAAATTCTTTTTGGCTCCTAATTTCTGTCTTAGAGTAATAGTCCTACCTACAACTACGACCACCCAGAGCAATCTTCATCTTAAATTAGGGAGTGGAAGACTACTAAGAGACTGAACCCAAAGCAATGGCCATCACTTGAAATCAATAAGTCAACCACCACAACCACCAGGGCTTTCTGGAAATTCCTTGACCTAGGCATCCCCTCTGAGTTTTACAAAGATATAATAAAGATATAATTTTTATAGAGATATAATAAACAGGGGGCCCTCCCTGGTGGCACAGGGGGCTAAAGCACAGCACTAGGAAGTTAAAGCCACTTCAGCACGAGTTCGATTCCTGGCTAGGGAGGTGCCCCACATGGTATGGCAGACCTCTCCTGACTTGCCCACTGCTTCCCTCAGCA